CGCCTTTTTGCCCCTTCCTCCATGTAATAAATGAGCTTTGCAAAGTACTCTTGAAGCTAATTTGACTCCTTGGAGACTTCATTAGAGACAAGATATTTAAGGTTGTAAGGTAACTTGGAGTTAGTCGTTTGTGAATCATCGTCTTTCCGTTCTGACTGGAAGCAACTTAAGGACGTGCGGTGTCTAGAACCGAGACCTAGACTTTTGCACTAATTTCATCAAGTTTCCACCGCAAGTTTCCTTAAGCGATGTTGCCATAAGTACAAGACGAGAAATCGTTACCATAACGAGAAATTTCCACTTTGCTTCCGTACTCGAGTCTCCTTTTTTCCCTACTTCCCTACTAACTTTTTTTTACCCATTGCACTTGAAATTTCAATTAAGATCTTCCATTTATGTCCACGAAAAATTAACTTATTTTTCGTTTCTTATATTTTTCAATAATTTATATTGACATTCAGGATAATTAAATGTCCAGGGCTCGAATTAGCTCCGTAAATCCTGTATAAAAGTCCGTTTTTTAGAAAAAAGGTCCGTAATTTGATTCAAAAAGAATGAAAAGTTCGTAAATTGTACGAAATAATTTGAAAAATTTTAGAGGAATTACAAATCATTGCATAAATTCAATTATGTTCAAAAATTTTTAGAAATTTTTTTGGTCAAGTTTAATTTTTCGATAGCTACTTTTTTTCTACTTTTTTTAGTTTGAAAGCTACTTTTTGCTAGATTTTTGAAATTAACTATCGAATGCGAAGTCTGGAAATATGAATTTGAAAAGAAAATTGCCAAACATTGTTCGAATTTGAAAAAATCTTTCATTCAAACGGAATTAAGACACAAAATATATATTTATAAAGGTATGGAAGGGAGAAAAGGTTTGTCGACGAAAAATCAGTCACAACGGCATCTGAATTGCTGGCGTATCAGAAGCAACGTGGCTTTGAGAATATAAATCAGAAGTTATTACAATAGTATCGTTGGACATGTGGGATGGTAGATCGCATTTCACCGATATTGGATTCTGCGAGGATATTCCATGATTGTGTTCACGACTCGCCTAGTTAGAAAATATACCCCGCCCATCCATTCAACGTCAAATACATTCGACAAAAAAAATACCAGCTCATATTTCATTTACTTACATCTGAAAATAATTTTTCAATTCGCATTTCCCTCGAGAAAATTCTATTTCTAATTATGGACAAATTTTTACAAAAACGGAAAAAATTAAAAAAAAGTTTCTTAAAACTTATTTATGCTAAAATTTAATTTCCCTGTGATTTCAAAGCCCTTCTCAATTTTTTTAAAAATTTAATTTTTGTGTTTTTTAATGCCAGTAAACCGTTTGATTAATTAAAATTCATGATTGAATTAGAATAATTATCTTCCGTTCTTAACATAGTAATCAAGAAGAGAAAAGTTTAATTTATTACAGTCTTAAAAAGTTTTCAAAAATTGGAGGGAATAATATTTTAGAGAGTAAATAAAAAAAAGAAAGAAAAGAAAAAAGTTGTAGTTATGTCTGCATAAATTTAAGAGAAAAATTAAGATCAGGAAACTAATTTTAAGTAATGTTTTAAATCACGTTAGCACCTACGTAAGGGGTGAGTAAATTTACTCGCTTTGGAACATTTAACGAGGGTGAGACACACGTATTTTCACTTAGGCGAATACACAATGACATATATATATATATATATACACACTACTGTACAAGACCCTCTGCGAGAAAATCGTGTGCATCTCTCAAAAAGAGAAATAAGAGAGAAATAATGTCTTCTTGTTTTAAAATTATTTATGGCACTCTTCGCCTTTCAACGCGCCATTTTCCTCATCGACAAGGAGTGTCAACATTCCCACGATTATTTATATTTCACGAAGAAAATACTAAATAAATATAAATTAACTTTGGGGACCTCGTGAAATTGCACTTTTCGATTGAAATCAAAATAAATCTCTCGAAATATTCAACCATATTAATAATTTTAATTATTAACTCAAAATTAAAATATAATTTTAAATTTAAATCGAAGCGAAATAAAATTTTTAATTAAATAAATATATCGTCGTTACGAACTCAAAATTAAACCCTAATTTAATTGGCTAAAAATCATTTCGCTAATTTTGACGTTTTACGTGTATATATAAAATTTATAAAATTAAATTTAATTAAAATTCTCAACTGTATGATTTTAATTAAATTCTATTTAATACTTTCGATACCAAATGTCATTATTTTCAATCGTCCTAATTATTGAATATATATTAATAAAACTTATTTAATTCGTCGATAGAGAGAGAGAAAAGAGATTTTTATTAAAAGTACTGGAAAAAATTTAATTTTTAGAATTCATAAGAAAATTCAGCAACTCTGTTATTAAAATGAAACTTAGCAATAAGGGAAAGGTGTATCTTTACCTTATTGCTAAGTTTGACTTATTTTTCTTTTATATTTTCTCGAAAAAATTTATCAACCCTATTGAGTTTATTTGAAACATATTTTTGCAGTGGTTTTTTGAAACGAATTTTAAAAGTTTTTGTTAACTCAGTTCGAGAGGCAGTGTAGCTGCTAAGTTAACCATTGAGAAAGTTTTGCGAGTTCTTCATAAGTTGAAAGTTTGACGGTGACGGGAAACCAATAGTCAGAGAACCCAGTGTTACCCTTCTGAACCCACGATAAACTATATACCCCCCACCAAACTGAGTTGAACCAATAGCCGTCAGCGTCAGTGACAAATGTTTCTTCGTTCCTTGTTTGGCGAGATGAAGATGACCTAAAAGTGCTCGAGTGCAGGAATTCACTCCTCATTCTCTCTCTATCTCTCTCGAATGCCATGATTTATTTTCATTTAAAGATTCACAAACGTCGTGAACTTTGAGTAAAATTTCAATTGATTTCCTCTTAAACTCAAAACTTTTTATTATAAGGGAATATATCAAATTAATCGATTTTTTTCTTTAAATCTGACATCTTAGGATGATGTTTTATGTAAATTTCAAGTAGATATTTTAAGAAATGCATGACTTTCTGTATGTTTTATTTACACTGCTATATTCTGAACACTCTGAATCAGAATTGCCACAAAAATTTAATTTTTTCCCTGACTATGCTAGCCAGTTGCCAATCATTACCTGAAGAGACAATTTAATGCCATTTTTCCTTGAATTTGACAGTTTGAGATTATAATCATCTTTTCTTAAGACATTGCCATATGATGAACACTCTGAAAAAAAATTAATTTTCTCTGACTTCACTGCTTAAGGAAAAGTAAAAAATTTATTATTAAAAAAAAGAATAAATAGAATGCAAAACAAAAATGAAAACCAAGTTTTAGATTAACAACGAAGTTTGTTGATTTTCATATTTGACGAAGTGTACTAAAACCGTAGTCGTAAATACGAGATATTTAAATTCGGTTTTCTCATTTTGTGCAAAATTTCACCTCTCGTTTGATGCCAAAAAGTTGAAAAGTACAGAGAGAGAGAGAGAGAGAGCGGATTAAATCTCCCAGTGACGAGGGCGAGGATGAAAATTAAATGGACCTGCGGTTAGAGTCATGAAGAGGGAGCATTTAAAGTCTATTTTTCCAGGGAACAGATTCTGTGGTTTAAAAGCTAATTTACCAGCAGAAAAATGGGTCGAGTAGAAAAAAACCCATTCTCAAAACTTTTATTCTATATCAAAAAATGTTCAATTTATAAACATCAATAAAAACCTATTTACCTTTCCCGAATAGAATAGCAAACAAAAAAACGAATTTAAATTATTACATAACATGATTAAATTAGAATATTCCAGGAGAGAATATATTCAGGTTATGAATGCCTTTGTGCAGAAATAGATTGATGAAAATGATATATAGGGAGATCTGTCGAAATCAGAGACGAACAGTATGAATCAAATTTGTGAATTTATTCGAGTGTAGAAAATTCCATTGGTTCTGGAAAACCGATGGTTCTGATGTGTTTGAGCATTATGCAAACGGGCGAAATTTTCTCTCCTATATAACATGTATAAGGAATTTGATTGGACATACTATATTTATTTATACATAGGTAGTAATTCTCTTTTGGGTGTATTAGAAATGTACATGTGAGCTGTTAACTTTATTTACCAAGAAACTTTGTTAAAATATACATATACTCAAGTTCATTCTCTAACGAACCAATCAGGATCTCAAATAAAGTCCACACTACCCTTTAGTGCAGACATGCTATTTACTTTACAACTGATATTATTATCCTCTCTATTTTCAACTAATACCTCCTCTGGGGTTTTGCATACGAATTAAACAATGATGATGAATCGACTGATGAAGTAATTGAGGAAAAGAAAAATAGAAGTTACAATCCCTTTTATTGTTACGATAGTCACGTTTTATTAGACTGACGTTCTACTTTATTAAAAGTGGTCGATAAAAATTCATTACCAATTCATTATACTTTTTTCAAAATCGAGTTTTCTAAACTGGGGTTAATCAGAACAGAGTGGAATAAATAAATTTCTAATGTGACCAAAAACATTTGGAAAAGTGTGGCAACTATTTCGCTACCTAGAAGACTAGTGAAAAACTTCTCATGTGAATTTCTCAGCTATTTTTCTTCGAATTTGACAGTTTGAGATTATAATCTACTTTTCTTAAGACATTCCCATATGCTGAACACTCTGACAAAAATGGAGCTGACATTGGCACCCAGTTAATTTTCCAAAAATTTTACATTGGTTTTTAACAAAAAGAATATTTAGCTTCAAAAGGACCCAACAAGGAAATACACTAGTTTTTCCCAGTCGGGTTTCTTATCAATTTTTAATTCAAATTTTAACTGGGTGCCAGTTTCAGCTTCATAAAAATCAACGAAAACCAATGATCCATTAAATAGATAACAATTAATTTTCATCATTTTTATTATCTTTGGAAGCTTACCAAGCGCGTTTTCATTTTCATATCTTGTTTCAATTTAATAAAGAATATTGAATTTAAAAAATAAAATTTCCCTACCTGGTAGCTTCTTGCAGCAACAGGTGAGGCGGCACCCAAAACTTGACTCTCAGAGCAAATCTAAGAGGTGCAACTCCCCCTCCAGTCTGTCGCTCAATAGGATTTCGTAAATTAAGCCAGAGCTCCTCTCCCTTTGCATTTTGATATTTTAGACCAAAATAGTCACACTCCTTGCTGATTCCAAGACAATCGCACACCTGAAACAAAAAACGCAAAAATAAGATAAAGAATAATGCAAAAATTTCACAAAGAATTACAAAATTTTGATAAGATCGGAAAAACCTATCTACAAAATATTTAAAATTAGATGGCTTTTTGTTATCATTTTTAAAAATGAAATTTCCCAGTTCTTTTGAAGAGTAAAAATTTCAATCGATTCAAATCCCCCAAAGGCAACGTATTAGGGATGACTATAAGAATTTAATAACTTAGAATGCATAAAATTCAAAATGGGATTTAAGCTTCGCCGTTGTGAAGATAAATTTTTATTATGGAATAATTTATACACCCAATAAAGAATAATTTAACGACCGGTCCCCTGGATTCTCCGACGAATGATTACGGGTTCTATTATATTTGATAATAAATCCCTAAGAAAATTTCCCCGTCATGTTACACCACTTTTGCCAAATAATTGAAATCGAAACTTTAGAATAATTTGTCTATATAAAAAGTAATTTTAAATAAATAGCTGCAACAGAAATGGCACAGGAATAGGATAGTAGAAATAAATCGCACTTGATGTAAAATAGACTAAATTAAAATTAGACCCAACAAGAAAAAGTATTTAAAAGGAATTCTAAAAAGTACGGGTTCAATCTTCCCACCACAGTAGTCGAAGAAAAGAAAGTAATGCATATATATATATAAAAATCTGGTCACGTGCATCTGAGTGAAATTGCAATGTTTCCCAATTTATTATATCAAAACGAGAGCGTTGACAATTTTTCAAAAAAGCTGCGGAAAATGGCTTTTGTCGTATTTTTCATTCGACCCCTTTTTTTAAAGGAAAAAATAAGTGAGAAAAGTTTCGAGTGGATAAAAAGTCATCTCTCGTAAAGTTGAGAGGCTTGACTGTTCCTGACCAAAAATTCCAAGATCCGATTCTCCAAAAATGAGATGAAGGGGATGAGAGACATTTATACTCATATATACATATATGTGTGTATATTTATGTCAAGAAAGAAGTACGAAAGTAGAAACCTTAGAAAATATCGTATAGACGAATAAATATTGAACTTCCTCGAAGGGATGGAAAGTAGTTTCGTGTGGCCCCGAGTTATTTCTGATGGTAGTGCACTTTTTTTTCTCTCTCTCTCTCTCCTCTCGACACAGCACTTTGTGATCAATAAAACCTGCCGAATACTTCCTTCCTTAACAAACAGTTTCTCGTTGGGTTAGAAATTGTTGATGGAGCAAGCCTCGAGTTAGCAAATATCTCGCTTCACATGGATCCTGAATCTCGAATCCTGATTTGATGTCGTAAAAAACGAATATAAATGAATTCATTTCCCCCTTGTGCTTGGAATTTTAAATCTAGTAGGAGGGAAATTCGATATATTTTCTATATATTTATGTAAGATATGATATGATTTTTCATTTATGTAAAATTTCGTTTTATAAATCTGTTTCGAAGAAGGGGGGTATAAAGAACTTGTGTGCAAAATTAATCCAAAATTGAAATAGTATCCGATTCGAATCCTTATATAAAAAGAGTAGATATGCAAATTAGGTAAAGAAGGTCATGTTATTTATTTTGGGAAAAGGAAGCAAGCAAAGGACAATTTAATGCCATTTTTACTTGAATTTGACAGTTTGAGATTATAATCAATTTTTTTAAGACCCTGTGTGGAGATTGAGTCTAACTTGATCTTGAGCTGTTGCGTCGCGCCTTTTGTCTTAGCAGAATCTCTCGATGAGATGGGCTGAAGTCATTTTAACTAAATTAAATTCAACAGTGAGTTATTCGTAAAGGAGCCTCGCGTATAGGTAACGTAGGCCTGGAGGACTTCTTTCAAGAATAAGGTCTTCTGAGAGAAGTTGATGATCGCCCATCTAGTTCCTTCTCCGGTAGTTGATCGAGTGTCCAAGTTGTAGCAAGTTGGTTGTAAATCCCTGAGTAATGTTTCGGCTGAATCCTTTACTGGTTCCGATCGTTAAGTGCATAGCGTGAGATCGTTGGCCGGTGGCCCGCGAACGCAGGAGGGCAACAACGCATTGATGGCTCCACAGTTCATTGCGGTTGCGGACAAGGCGAAGAGAAGAGGTAGACCGTGCAACGAGTCGTCTAGCCAGTCGAGTCGCAAGTCTTTCTTCAGTAATGCTACTGAAATAGACGCAGCCAGCTGCGATAAAGACCGCGACAAGTACATACTTTCCTCTTGCTGGAAGAAATAACAACATACATTGAAATTTTTTTTGGAAAATGTCAGTAAATGCTCAAGTCCTGTAAAGTTCAGAAGAATCTCAATATGACAATCAAGGATGGACTTGAAAGCTTAACAACGCTTATACAGAATACCAAGTCTACTGGACAATATAATATCCGAAATATTTCACAAAAAAAGTGGATTTGACAACCAGTAAAAGAAAACTACAAGGTAATTTCGACAAACAGTCTACGATGTTTAAAAGCGGAAATCCAATTGGCACACATAATCTAGTAGACTTTTGGACCAGATTCAATTTCTCTATAGTGTACAACTAAATAAATGAATATGTTTTATTATTGATTATTATGACCCAATTAGAATTTCGCAATTGGAATCCGAGTGCAATGAAAAATCTTTTAACCAATGTCGTATATCTTAATCGATATTCAATACTCTTTAATCTGGTTTCCAAAAACCATCGCAAATTTACCATATGGTACGTATGGCCTAATGGTAAATTTAGAGAAATAAGCAATGGCATCATCACTTCTTTTTCGAAAAAAAACTCATTAGCAATAATACATAAAATTCAGTTCTAATTTTCTTCTCTCCTGATATAAAGTCATGCGACTTCTTTTCTCCGCGAAACCTGTCGGAGTCATTTATTTTGTTGACAGCCAGAAGCAAATGGATGAATTTTCGAAAAAACTTGGAAAGTCGGGAACTCAGGGACTGCGTAGCAGAGAGTTGAGTAAAGTGATCCATGATAGTGGGTCTGCGTAACGTTATGGAGATCCATTAATCAAGCTGACTAATGCAGTATGCGGTTAAAGTGTCTCATGTACTTGAGAGAGGTGAGCTCAGTTTAATGATAAAAAAAGGTGCTTAAATCTGACAGACTTGACGAAGAATGACTGGAGATCACATGCAAATGCATTTGATAAAAGAATATATGTGTCAGAGGGGAAGACATGGGTAACGAGATCTCTTTTTACTTGTGGAAAATTTAATTCTCCTCCTTAAAAAAATTCTTAAAAGCCTTATTTAGGCCTCCTAAAATAGGATCCCTCTTAAGGAACCTAATCTCAATTTTTAATATTGAACTAAGAAAGTTGAGTACGAAAATGAAAAGTATAAATCAAATTAGAACTATCAAAGATGAGTGTAGTGCGAGAATGAAAATTTTTGGCATCGCGAGACCAGAATTTGCACTTAAAGCACGATTCTCATTTTGTCCTCGACGTCATACAGAATTAACAAGAATTTATTTTATCCCGTCTCATTGGCGATTTTTATTTTCTCCCCCACGGAGATTAATTTCACGCTAGAATATAGAGCAATTGGGTGCGCAACTCCGTGCTTTACTTATTGTTTTCTACCCTGGCATCATTTGAAAAATATTGCTTTTTTAAAAAATCATCTCAGCCAGTTGTTTTGAATATTCATGATTTTATTCGCGCCGACAAAGAAATTTTAATTTCACGCACGATTCGACAGCTTCGATAGTCGATTATATTTCACGAGCAATTAAAATACACGATGCGTTCACATATTCATTTTATATCAAAGTATAGAAAAAGAGTTCAAATTTCTATTTTCAGTATTATACAGTTTTTTTTTAATATTGTAAAAAGAAATGAAGACCTCTTTTGATCCAGGTATATATGTGAAAAGTTAAATGTAAATTATACATTTGTAATTCATATCCGTGGATGCAGTGCAGGTTCTTTGAATTAGGCAGATTTTCAAATGAATTTTAATGAAGTTATATTTCACTGTGTAAAATGTGCTTTTGATGTTTTTTTCTTCTCTCGTTGGAAAGATTGGAATTATTTAGACGACGAAAAGCTTTAGCTTTGAAGAAAATGCATTTTAATGTTTAGATTTCGAGACGCATGAATATTCCCCAAAACTCATTAATTCGCATTTCGTCTAAATTTGAATTTCACGAAAGTCGATTCTACATTTAAGTGAATTTTGTAAAGTAAGACGCCATGCTCTTGAAGTAACTGAAGGTTTTATGAAATTGGATACTAGAAAATTCGACGAGGTTTTTGCGGAAATAATTTCTAAAGTCGAAATTATATGTGAGTTACCAGAATCATCGAAACATTTGCTGAGAAATCACTTAATTTGCATCACATCCCATTACTAGAAATCTCTATTACTCGACACTAATAAATTACCTCACATCTCATTGGGGATTCTGCTAAGACAAAAGCAGCGATGCAAACAGCTTAAGATCAAGTTGGACCCAAACGAACCTTTTTGAAATTAACCGTTGAGACGCTGACAAATTACAATATACTTTTTCTACACATTACAAATTAGTCAGAGTGAGTAACGATTCAGTTTGTTACAAGGCTTCCTGGCCATGCGAAGGTTAGTGGCCAGATTCAATCTCCACACGATGTCTTAAAAAAATTGATTATAATCTCAAACTGTCAAATTCGAGGTAAATGGCATTAAATTGTCTCAATTCAGGTAATGATATTGCTAGCTTCGTCAGGGAAAAACAAAATTAAATTTTTGTGGCAACCCTGATTCAGATAGTGTTCGGCATATGGCAATGTCTTAAGAAAAGTTGATTATAATCTCAAACTGTGAAATTCGATGAAAAATGTCATTAAATTGTTTCTCACCTAGAACAAAAGCTGGTGTTTCGACTTTAGGTACAGACTCCACTGCATATAATGAAAGAAAAAATAAATACAATAGCCATAATTTTTTCTAGTAATTTATAAACAACTTGGTTCTTTTGGGGTGTTGGTATTCACAAAACGATCTTCAATTGACTGGAGCCTTTCTCTCTCTCCCTTTCTTAC